GATAAACCAGTTTCAGTGAAACCAATCCTAAAAGTAAATCAAACGATATTCCCCTCGTCAAAAATGAAATAAAATGAAGGTCGATGGGCACGTCACGCTACGGAAAGAATGAATCATTGACCATAGATCTCCTCCAGGTCTATGGTTTGACACCCCCTCTCAGGTTTGAAGAGAGAGAGAGAGGGAAAAAAAGGGCAATCAATTTGCGTCCGGCCGTTCACTGATAAAATCATAATTATGCACGCATTCCGAGTGTGATTCAGGATTTCCACGCTCCAATAGTTGCGTGTGAGTAGAAGACCAGCCTCATCATCCTGTCGCGGCAAGAGCCTGAAAGTACAAGGTCACGCAGCGAGCTACCGGAACCCTTGCGCGGTCTGCCTGTAGGGATTTTACATTGGGCAGTCCTGTCACGTTCGGTAATTTTTGGAAACATAATTCTTTACGGAAACCACCCCATGGAACACACATGTTGGAATTTTACCTTTGTCTTCCTCAAGTAATATTTAGGAAAAGTCAACTGGAGATAGGTAAAAGAACGAATTTTATTAACGACCTTTCACGCCCGGCAATATCGTACCTAGGTCTCCTTGTTCGTGCACGTTTGTTTTCACTCGCCGTGCTTTCTTGAAAACGAGATTGTACAACCTTGCAAAGATTGACCTACCTGCAGTCGATGGGTTCCAGATTCCGTTGAGTTGACATCACGCTGTTGTTGTCAGCAAAGGTAAAATAAAATATTATCATAAAAGTAGAATATTGCTTTAGGTTTATCACCTTATAAATTATAAAAATGTGTAAAATATTTTGATCTGTTTTTATTTCAGCTTTTACCCACAGACTTACCATAAAATTTTAAGCCGTAAATGTTCATCTGCGTACGAGACTGCCGCATTGCACTGTTCTTCATGTATTTTAGATTTTCGGAAGTGATGGGTCAAGTTTTGGCAGGACATTTCTCTTTTAGATCAGGTAATTTTTCAGTTTCTATAAATTGATATACCAACAAATATTTTTTAAAATCCCTTTTTCCAAGTTGGAAATTTAAGAAGAAACCGAACGAAAAAATATTACAAATTCTTAAATCTTTACACCTTATTTTGCCTATCCAAGGGTTCCGGAAGCGCGCCACCAGGGGTCAACTTTCAGGCTCTATAGTCCATGATGCAGCTCGCGTTGGAATTGTGCATGGTACCCCGGTTCACCATGACAGATTCAGTTTTTTTTAAAGCTCATTCAGAAAGGAGCCCTGCTGAGTTTTTATGTTCTTGTGCGTTTAGGATGGAAGATAGTTTTGAAGTATTTATCTTGTACCGGTATTTCAAACCCCCCACTTAGACAAGAGAGTAATTCGCTCGTAGCCCAGCGTCCGAACAGGGCGCTCAGGGGACGGCCTGATGGCCTTGCACAGATTTTAGTGCAGGAAATGCGTCATGTGGGGTCAAAGCCTACGACATGCAGAGCAATGTGGGCAATTTTTGCCAGACGCTGGAGATTGCTTAATGTAGCTGTTTTCAATTCGATTTTTTTTTCTATTTTTCCTCACTGCTGAAAATGTTCTCACTATCTTTATTAGTTCATCCAAAATTGATCAATTGATCAATCAAAAACTTCAAATAACGCTTCGCTAACAGGAGGTCGAGCACACCACAGTGCAAAACCATCAGCCCTGGCCTTCCCAGCGCCCGGGCGCCGGTTGACGAGCGAAAGAAAGTAATAGCTATTTTGTGAGGGTTTTCTGCATAAAATAAAGTTGAAAGTTCCGTAGAATCTGAGTGAAAATGACGTTGAAATTTGAAGCCCTGCACATTTTCACCAGGCCGCTTACACTTTTTGCAGCCATTGCCATTTATGCGCATGCGTGCATAATTATGAAATCATCAGTGAAAAGGTCCATTGTTAGTAAGCAAATATGACGAATATAAATTTTTACGCGTCATTGATGCGTGCAATGCAACTGAAAATAACAGTTGTCTGGCAGCGCTTATCGATTTTCCAAGGTTCTTCGGGAGAACAGGCTGTGAAGACACACCCTTTGGCATTCAGTGTAGGAAACAAAGGCTGTACGTGTAAGTATCGGGAACAAAAACCTCTAGTGAAGTTGAAGGAAAGAAAACGTGGACATCAAGGCACTTGTTCACTGATTACTGCGTCAAATAGTCAGGATTTAACTTCAGAAAATATTTAGATGTTGTCGGGTATAAAAACCTTGTTTCTTTCGTCATTGAAATCGAATTTAAAATCCGAATAAACACAGAATAATACGGCTTTAAGGAACTTCACCGCACTCACAGCCTAAAAATAGAGACGAGCCCTTCGGGGATTTTATTTTGCATATAAATAAACATGTAGCTGGAACCACATGCAAAGATTTTATCCACACACAGTTCCCCATTTTTCACAGGGCCTATCTCATGACCGAAGGGCCATTTGTAAACGGCTTAGATTGTGACCGATGCGTCGGTTTGAACTCTAAATCATCAATTTAATTCTGTGTCTTACTCTGTAGAGTGAGAATCGAGCGGCAGGCGTCAACTTGAACTTTGACAGTACATGACGTCTCGAAGCGAAATGGGTAAGTTGCGTTCTTGGTCGCATTTCGTGGAGTTGCATGGAAACGTTGATGTGCGTGGTGAGGCTAGAGGTCACGAGTGGTATATAATACACAAGTCACATCATGCTGATGTTTTGAACAACCTGGTTTTTTTTTCTGAAAAACGTTCCTGCAATCACCAAAGTTTATGTGTTCAGTGGCTCCATGAAATTGACTCTATATGCATGTAAGTGTTGCTATGGCCTGGACTATAGAGGGGGGAACAGTGTTTTCTGCTCTGCAACGAAAAGGTTTACCTATGGGTGCATGGCCTGGGTGCCGGCGGGACGAGGCTCTTTCCAAGGCATGGAGCCAAAAAACAAAAACAAAAAACGCTTGGCCACTATGGCACACCGACACATCTATAGTATAAAGGGGATTTAAAGCCGGTACATACTACACTGCAGGCGAACGTGAAAGCGAAGCAAATCTGAAGTCACGAAAGATTTGCAGTAAAATTTCGCTGGAGTTGAAATGTGATCAACTGTTGCTAATTCGCAGCGTGAATATTATTTGAACTGACGTCACAGATCTGCGTCTGTGTTGTATAAACGCAAACGCAGACGCAAATCAGGCGTTAATTACCCGACCTCTACATTATACATTTGCGCTGTTGCGAAAAAGACCGGTCTTTGAATTGAACAATAACTTGGGATCGTAAAAAATGGTTTTGAATAAACATAAACCCGGATGTATTTGGCTTAAAATGATAAAAAAAATTTAAGAGTGTTCTCCAGTCTATGAAATACAAGCGACAATTAAGAGAAAAAATTTCGCGGCCACCATTCACTCGTCATCCTTGTTTCGCAAGCCGAGACGGCGATATAGGCTATTTCAGGTCTTCAGACCCAAAGTACGAGTATGCCGTTGGCTTTATATCGTCGGCCAGTCTTGGATAAAAAAAAACTGTCAAAATGAAGTTTTAAGTGACCTTTGGATGTTTTCTGTATTTTTCACAATCAAACTACGAACCGTTCACCACTGTCAGTCTCGTCTAACAAAACATTTCTCCCGAATAGCTCACGAGCTCGTCCCCAAAATCGCATCGGACACGCCCCTTGCACTGATGTTGTCCCGGTTTTATAGTTCGTCTGTATTGCTTGCCAAACATGGGGGTGCCACTTCAGCAGATAATATATTTTATTTTCTGCCAGTATTTTATTTGACATACAATTTGCTTCCTTTTAACGCTTATTTACCCCTCGAAAGGGAACCATTCATTCAAAGTAAACATGACCTATGTAAAAAAAAGTCACCAATGCAAGACTTTGTACGAGAATACAGGCCTACACACGTTTTCTCCTCAACAAGCTGGTTTCATATTCGACGGTGCAGGCGTCGATGAAATCAATTATATTAGTACTACCCGGTTCTAACCGTTTTAATGTAACTCAGTCGTAGTGCACACAAACGAAAAACTTAAGGTTGTTTGTGGTAAGCTATGTACAGGGATGGTCTTAAATTCCGGCCTAATAAATGCTGTCATTGAAGCCTGGACTGACTTAGTTTCCAGAACGACAGAGAGCTTTTCCCAGAATGTGCAGACCTACTCAATGACTGTCAGCAATGCGCGACCTAAGTTGCTTAGCCGGATTTGTATCATTACATCGAATTTGGGCATTAGTTTGCTGAAATGATAGTTCGGTGTCTGTTTCATATAAAAAGAAATAAAAAAAATTGGTTTCGTGCTGTAATCGAAAGCAGGATTTTGGGAAGTTATTCAGGACTGCATGTCAGTAAGCAACATCAATTCTGGTTGCTTTAGTTTGTCTACGTGCAATTTTCAGATAGAGTCCCAGTCAAGTGAGAAGCTTTGGCGGGAAAAGGGAGCTCCATATCAGTGGTGCATGTTTCATACAGTTAATTGAGCAGTGAAAGTATGTAGGCATGAGTTTGATTACGAGAATATGCACCAAGTCGGAAAAACAGATTTTAAGCGATTTGAGATTACTTATATACAGTTTACTGGCTAATCAGATGTGACGTGAACTAATACAATTTGGAGTGGATACATGTAGGTTTCTGAGCCCAGTTTTACGCCCTCTATCCTACTTCAGCTCCCCACCCCTTCAGCAGGAAACACGGCACTGTTAGTTGTTTCTCTGATTTCAAGAGGAAGAAAAATCGTCAGAGTTTGTGTCATGAGCGGAAAGTATTTTTCGTGCTTCATGTCTAAGATTTCGATCATTGGGGAAAAAGTCAACTATTGAATCAAAACCTGCATCCAGTGTCCTAGATTGAATTCAGAACAGAACATCTCTTGTAATCGTATATATCTTGTAACAATAATCTTAAAACGAAAAGTGGACATTTCACATAATCACAGCCTGGAAATAAATTATGAAGATTTTTGTGACCAGCCTTTTCCACAAACGACATTCCAACCTCACTCAATAGGGGTCAGTCTGTGCTTGCGATCGGTGCTACGTGTAATGTTCACATGTAACATCCGGATACGAGGTTGAATGCGTAGGCGTGTTTATACATTCTCCGATGTGTTTTTTCTTCTCCCATGGTAAAAATGACGAATCGAGGTGGTAGTTGTTATTCATATTAAGACTGCCCGCGCTGTTAAAGGATCTTGATTCGATTCGTCTATAGTGGAGGAGAGTTGGGGGTTATTTCGGGTGCAGAATGGAAGGCGGGAAGCCAGGTGGAGACATGGTGAAGCCGCCGATTAATCCGCAGCAAGCCTCGCCAGGATACAGGGCGGAAGGGGCGCCTGAAGCAACAGGCGGCCCGCCGATAGCAGGCGGGTATCCCCCGGCCGGCCCGGGCGGGTATCAGTCGCAGCCGGGGAGTTACCCTCCTCAGGGTTACCCAGCACAACAGGGATATCCACCTCCTGGACAGTGTGAGTTCCTAAGTTTGTTGCATATGTCAAGTTAGGTAGGGCATGTCCCCCCCCTCCCAAAAAAACTGGTAGGCCTAAACTCATTTTCTTTGAGGTCGATCGCGTTGACACGACAATCACCTCACAGAATACATTATATACAGAACTTGTAAAGATCACATAGGGTAACAGTCAGTCTTGTTGCTACGAAAACCACGCGTATTTCAAAGAATTACATTAATCACACTTGTTTCGGTCTGTTCGAACGCTTTCGGTATAAACTTGAATTAGAAATATACACATCAGTCAGTTACCAGTGAATCGCTTGAGCTAATTATTTATGCTCCCAAATGCATAGTAATTTTGCTGACGAAATTTTAAAGCAATGGCATAATTTCATATAATTTTTATTGTAATGATCTCATCTAAATGTATCGTAATTTAGCCTAATTATGCAAATGTGCACAGTTCACCAGTTGTTGTTTTGTTTTAATGGCGCTTTCAGCTACTCAGGCTATTTGTGCCAATAACTATACTTTTATTCATAACCTTCATTAATCAGCATCACATTAAGGAGTTAGGAAAAAGGTCCAGTTTTAGAGGCAGGAGAGAGTATGGACTGAAAGCCTGGGCCAAGCCGGGACTCGAACCCGTGCCTTATTGGTGCAATGCGAGGAAAGAACCCAGGCTCCCCCAGTTAACCAGTTATTGAAAATGCATAGATTTCGCCATTCGAAGGGACAGTGCACCAACCTTGAATGCCTTGTGTGGATTGTTCGAACCCTACGACGTGGAAGCCAAGTCCACACAAGGTATACCCCCTTTCTGGAAAACTGATTTAGATGTTCCTCCTGGAGAAACAGTAAAGATAAGCTCAAAACAGTGTTGGTTGAAAAAGAAAAATGTGTATTTTTACTTAGTTTTCCTACACACTGTGTACGTACTAAAAAAGAAAATACCTGGGTATCGTAAACATGTATGTGTGTCTTAGATACGCGTGCTGTCGTCACGCTTTTCTTCATTCTATTCAGCAGAGAATGTCATAGGCCACAGGGTTGGGTTGAGGATGGAAAAGATTTACCGTATGTGACTCTTTAATGACCCGCAGCCGGGGCACGTCATCCACTGCCAAATTTCAAACCAACCGAGAACGCGTTTGGCAAAAATTATAATTGTAAAGGTAGAAATAATAACAGAGGAGATAAAGGACGTGTTTGTAAAGATATAGAGGAATACATGCCCATAGCGAGGTTCTGTTTCCCTACTAAAATTAGAGCTTTTGTTCCTTTTATGTTCAAAAAGTGGAGCGAAGCACTGAAAGGACAACTGTCGATATGAATTTACTTCATGATGACACGAGGTCATTTCAACGCACAGATCCAACGTAGCGCCATGCTTAAGTTCCAAAACAGTGAACATACCGTACCGAGGCGGCCTCGCCAGGGCGTATTTGCAGACCAGTTACAGTTTCGATCGAGACGATTATGGGAAAATGATGCACTTCGATGATACTGCCAAATGTACTTAGTCTAATTTTGCAAAGACACGGGCTGAATCTAAACTGCCAATTAAAGTAGGGCAGGCTTACACAGCGCGCAATGAAGGATATTCCGCAAACATAGTGCTTTAATTCCTTGGTGGTTGTTACACAAGGGCGCAATATAAGGCGATAGACCGCTGTATTTAGAAACCTGAGCGATTTTTTCCACGAAGATGTCGTTCTGTGTAGCGCGTTAGAGCACCAGCAGTCTCGCTGTTACGGGTCGACGGGCACGGTTAGGCCTCCTCGTCGCGCCTTTTATTCCTGCAATGGAACGCTTATGTTATCGTGGAGAGTCACAAACACTCACTGGCACATGCATGATCGATTGGTTCCCGCTGTACATGCAGTATACACATACATGCATCGTGTTCCGTGTCTTTTTGCACCACACCCGTTCGTTTGTGTAAATGGGCGAACTGTGCCTTGCTACGAAACCACTTCTGTGTTTACTTCAATAGCTGTTGGGTCATTCTTAAAAAAAATTAGAAACATTTGGGGGTCCATTGTTTGAATGTGTGTCCCTGTCAAAAACTGAAATATGATTTTGTAAGCTTTTGGAACACATTCTTTAATTTGCAGTAAGAGTGACTGTCATGCAAATTACCTGCCAAACAAATAATTGAGGTTTAAAGTCAATTTCAATGATATTACCATGCCAAATTACACACAGATCACGTGTGACACGGACACCAACAACGTTTCACGTTTGTACCTCAAATTTGTAGAATGACTCTCTTACGCTTCCACAATTTTCTTTCATTTCCTTTTTACCTCAGTATCAGCAAAATTCACAACGTTGTCTCATTTTCTGTTTTTTATATTTCGGGAGGTCGGCAGCCTTGAAGTATTCATGTGCAGATGTCTTACTTCACCTTTCTCGATATCGCTGTTTGTAAGTCGCCCTTCTGGCGATAATGAGATGTGGTACCCACCCGTCATATGTGACCTGAATGTGCATGGTATGGGGGAGGGGGGTAGGCTACTGATCAGTTGCCATTATGAAAAAGAGAATAACCTGGGGCTTTCCTCTTCAAGAAAACATGTACCTGAGTAGACCGATTGCGCTTGTTAAGTCACGTAACCTTTAGTTGGTATCAAACATCAAAAAGCATGGCAAATTGTTGTGATTTTTGCAAAAATATAAAGCCGATATTCGGTACAGCACTCAGCGCATCAGTAGTCTGAGTTCTGAACCAACTGTCGGCTTTGTTTTTAGGAAAATGACACTTATGGCACACTTTACTATCGGAGAACGCCATGTTCGTCGACATTTGATATCCACTAAGGTCACGTGAGTTTGCGGGTGCAATCGGTCTATTGCTGCTGTTTGTAATGACCTCCATGACGCACGCACTGTGTGCACATGAGTCATATCTAATGAAGTTAACATAGGCCTACATGGAAAATGCAAGCAAGATCTCAAGATACATGCCTTAGAATAAATTTTGGAAGTGAAGAGGGATTTACAAAATAAACTACGTACATGTAGCTTTGTTGTCATGGAGTTTCCGTTTTTTGTTTTTGTTTTGTTTTTGTTTTTTTTTTAATCTAAAAGTTCTTCAGTACCCATTGTTGCCAAATGTTAAATTTCATGTTTAGCAGACTTTTTATTCGTGAACACACGAGTATACACATTAAAGAAAGTCAACAGTTTTTCGAATTACTGAATAGAAATAAACCCTTTTTCCTTTTTTCATATTAAACCTGTAAACACATTATAGTTTCAATGCTAAATCTTGATTTTGTGAAGACATGTCAGGTTGAATTCCCTGAGGTATGCTTATTGGGTTTAGTGAGTTCACATCATAGACTCATCATGAAATCACATCAGGAAAAAAAAAGCAAGCTCCCTACAAATTTGTCGGAAATGTTACCAAAAAGAAGAAATACCAATGAACACAATAAAAATTAATGTTTTATATTCTTTTTTTTCATTTATTTGTATTTATGTACGCTTTTTAGCTGCAGACATGTACTCACCGACTACATTTTTAATTAATGCGGCTTGGTTAAACTACCGGCAAGAGGCGGTGCAAAAATCGTGACCGTCGTTAGTTGATACAGCGTCTGTGCCTGATAAGCAACGGGCCAACGATCTCCGAAAAGGCAGGCTGCATTATGTGGTTGTCGTCACCCTGCGTTAAACATATTTAATCTCAAATTTGCATCCTGAAAAACAATGATATTCAGCACAAACGTTTTGACCCTTTAACTGACATTTTAGATGATTAAAGAAAAAGATAATTGATAATTAAAATACAGCTCTAGATATTATTTAATTCAGAACATCCAGGTAAAAAAACACACAATTTAATTTGGTTTCAATGAAATTATTAAAAAAATCTTACGGTATGAGAATAAATTCTTCAAATGACAGCAAAAGATATCATGATTTGCTGTGCATATCTTTATTTTTGTGCTCCATTGATTGAAAAGTTTGGATAAGATAAATTTGCGTGCATTTTACTCACTTCAATACATCAAGATTTCACTCGAGTTTTCCGTGGTGGTTCATTTTCAAACTAAATTTGTCTCATTGATAATTTAGGGTAATCAAAACGTCTAGTAAACCTATAGTTCTTGTGGAAATGAATAAATATAGGCCGAGACATCTCAGGACATTCTTTGGCGATTTGTTATCTTATAATTAAAATTGGTTTTGCCATCTGCACATGAGCCACGTTGTGAGACACAATATTCAGTATGTGTCATGTCAAAGACGTCCATTCACGTTCACATGGCTGCGTCATTTCCCCAACTGGACGAACGCGCTCCAGTAACTAAAGCACTTACCGTTGGTTCAATAACGCTTCAACGTCGATCGGTTTTCATGATTGAGACCTATTGGAGTTGCTGGATTCGTGGTTCAAAATGTTCCAGCATCAATTTTAGTCATTTGCTTCAGATCTAGGAGACCATAGTATAAAACGTTTAAAACATGCTGACATTAGAAAGGGTCACCTTATGAACTGAAGTTTAAATCGATGATTAAATTAGACTTTTTTATTGCTTGCATCTCTACAAAAATGAACGCCAGTAAAGGGTAATTAGACGGTTATAGATTTAGGACTAAACATAATCTTAACAGGTTACTTCCCACCTTGTCATAGGTGTAAATCAAAAGGTGTTTATTCATTTTTCACTCACTGTTAATCATTGGTTTATTCGGTTTGGATTTGCAGCTATGAACGGGCAACTTAAAATGTACATTTTGTGCGACTTTGATATTTCAATGCCGTCAATATCCACGTCGCAGTCATGAAAATGTGCCGCCAAGCCTCGTCAACTATTTTCTTTCGCTGAAGAAATTCCGTGTTCCAACCGAACTGAGCTAAAATGCCAACACCTTGAGAGTACATTCCGGACGACCATACAGCTGTCACAGGCCAAAACTGGTGGCTGTAAATTAGAACGAAAGTGGAGAGTATGTAGCCGAGATCATCCGACTGAACATGAGACTGCGCCCTTGCCCAGCCGAAATCACAAACACGCAGGAAATCATAAATCGATTAGCTGTTCGGAGGTTGCCAACGATTCCGAGTTACAGTTTGCCACAGGCGGACCATACGTGCATTGCTTGATGTTGTTGCTCTAAGGCTCTCTCGGCGAACCAAAGCAGCAATGTTCATGACTTGACATTACCTTGCGCGAACCGTAGATACAACGCAGTGCCATGCGCCCGTCGATGTACATGTACACAGGCGCACTGTCGCGTTCGGAATTGAGCTTGGACCCAGGGTCCATCGATTCTCGCCAGTCGTGCCACGCAAGAGGTTTGCCGCACCGGAGCAAATTAACCGACCGTGACGTTTGCACCAAAGATGGTAATTTGTGACAAGTTTGAAGACGTACACTGAGCATTTCCCTCCAAGAGATGCACCAAAATGTTTCACGGAGAAGTCCAAACCAAGGAAGCACTTTCCCTTCACCAGGCTCCTTCTGTACCACAATCCTTTGATATATACACTGTGACAAAACCGTAGACTTCCCGCCCCACACACACACACACACTCACCCCTACAAATTTAGGATCCCGACGAGTCCTTCCTGCAAATTCGACCTTAATTAATAAACTTTTCGGCTGCGCCATAAATAGGGGGTCTAATAACCGCTTGCCACTTCAAAAAGTGACGTCATGTAGGGAGTCAGGTGGTGGATTTGACGTCAGTCATCATACCGTAATTTACGATCCTTGCATGGTGTTTATATCATGACGGAGAGTTTGCCTCTACATTGATCAGGTTTGTATAGGACGGCTCCTTATCACAGAAAATGTACATGCTCAGTAAAAAGAGTTTATGTGGTAAAGTGCTATGCAAAGTATATTCTTTTTCCCGGAGAAAAGGGAAAAATGAAGAATTGAGAGAAATTAGAGAGAGAAAAAAATCAGAACAGAAAAACGAAAAGGAGGATGAGGGAAGAGGAAGAAAATCACCAACGTGCTTGAAAATACTTGGGGACTGACCCCTGCATCGTCGATGTTTGTCAGTTTGCTGCTGCTGAGCGTAGCCCGCTCCCTCCCTCCTCCAGAAAGAGCTTGCCCACTCCCTTCTGGAGACGCCCACTGTGTCTATGCAACCACTTGGTGCAGCGCCAGGTCGGGCAACGACAGTGTTGCGTGACGATGGTTATGGTGCGATGATTGCAGTAATGGAGGTGACCATGGGGATGATTATCGTGAAAAGCACAAAGAGGATGATGTTTGTGAACATGTTGGCACTGACAATGATTACTGGGGTATGGCAGCAAGTATGATGGTTGATGATATGATAACATCCGACGCCAAAAATTACGTTTTCCACCGTTTGGTAAATGTCTTTATGACGCCCCCCACTATAGCCCAGGACTGTCCCAACTGTTAGAGTACTGCAAGTGAGCGGGCAATAATTTCTGTGGAAAATATTTCGACTTTCTTCAGGTTCTTGCTGCTCACACCTTACAGAATTCATCAAAAATATGCCAGCCTAACATATCATAAACAAAAACATGATTCTGCTGACGTATTGCTGATAGGAATGAAAATTGCACATGGCAGCCATCTTTGCGGTAACTGCTTTTGTCATGGATGGTAGCACAAAAGGTCTACTCAGGTGCATCGCCGTGGAACAAAAAGCTTTTACCGGAAAAATTTGCATTGCTTGATGTGGTTGCTCTAAGGCTCTCTCGGCGAACCAAAGCAGCAATGTTTATGACTTGACATTACCTTGCGCGAACCGTACATACAACGCAGTGCCATGCGCCCGTCGATGTACATGTACACAGGCGCACTGTCGCGTTCGGAATTGAGCTTGGACCCAGGGTCCATCTTTTACCGGAAAAAATTGCTGCTTTGCACAACCTCTGTGGCACACATTGGCACACGATATACGGTACCATAGCTGGGACCTCCTTAACTGTATACATGTACTTGGTACAGATACCGCAGTTGGGACGGGACATGCTCAACAAAAAAAAACTGTTTTTCGTTTTGTTTGGCTCCCCAGCCGGCTACCCGCCCCAGCATCAGGGCTACCCCGCCCACCAGCAGCCGCCCACCGTGGTGACGGTCCAACAGCAGCCGGCGACCACGCAGGTGGTAATGACCGGGGGTTGTCCCACCTGCCACGTGGGCGTCATGACGGACAGCTACACGGCCTGCGGCATCATCCTGGCCATCTGCTTCTTTCCTCTCGGCATCATCTGCTGCCTCATGATGAAGGAGCGCACGTGTAGCAACTGCGGGGCCACTTTCGGTTAGATGGTGCTCTCTTCATTCTAAAGCACTCGGGATCACTGGCCGATCCAGAGACCATGCCCTCAAAAGGAGCCACGTCAGAGAAAGAAAAAATGTCTACCGTATTTAATTTCCCTTTTAACCAAAAGCGTGTAAAAAGCCTCAAAATGTAGTCTCAACCCCCAGAAAAGCAATCACAGTTTACATTTTAAAAATTGCAATAGAGGGACTGCACATTATGTTTTTGTAAAAGAATAATTACTGACTACCAGCTGAAAGGAGTTTATATTTCTTGCCGCCCCTTAAAAAAGATGGGCTCTGGGTCCGCCTGTACCCGACAGCTGGCAACGTTGCCTCGTACTTAGCCAGAGAGCAAGATTAGGATTTCAACTCACGTCTGCACTTTTGAAAAAAATGCACGTGAATCGAGAGCCGAATAACAGGATGAAAGTGACGTGCAGTTTGTATGGAACTCCACGTCAACACGAGTTCAGAATCAAAACTTTTCTCCTCAAAGTACATGTAGTTTTAAATGTAGCCTTATATAAGTATCATTACCTCGTACACGTATCCGTGCTGCTAGTCGATCATTCAGCTTAGAAGTATGAATTAGCAAATAATTGGAAGAAACGGTGAGGAGGAGGGCTTGCAACTTCTCTTCAGCAGCAAGGAAGGTTTGTAGCGTAGCGAAATATTTACACAGAAAAGGATAAAGCCGGGAATAAAATCTGGCGTGCCCGAATTACGTGGCTAAGGTTACGAATGACACATGCATCTATGGTAGCCACGGCCCAACGGCTGCAGCCATTTGACATAATAAAACGGACATTTCGGTCGTAGCCACGTAATTCGGACACGGCTGAATTTTACATTCATGTGACGCGTATACAGAAACGACTGAGAGATAATTTTGAAGATTTTGAGATCTCTTGAAAGTGTCTTAACATTTATCTCAGAATGGATTTCGATATTTCAAGTAAATTCAAACATATCTTGAAATCGTTCAGAGATATCTTGAAATGGAATTTGAAGTATCTCACAAAAATCACACAAAGTGTCTGAACTCTTCAATTGTTTTACAAATATATTGTAGAAATTGATAATATCTTTAAAGAATATTGGATACCTTTCAATAATTTCAGGCTACTGTTTTCAAGTATATTAGTGCCACCTGTGCAAACCAAGAAAATTCAGTTTCGGCCGAGGTTGAAGCTCGACCCTGGCACCGGTACGCCATAATAAGGATGCATATTGCACCTTGTATATCTGTGATATTTTTGCAAAAGACATTTTATGTTTCAAAGGTGTACTTGCGTCAGGGAGATACTTCAGTTTTAATTGAAAATTGATATCTGCGGTGCCTCTGATACATCTGAACAGTCGACCCCGGCAAGCTCGGTGGTCGAGTGGTCAAACCGTCTGCACTAATAAACAGAAGGTCATGGGTTCGAGTCCCACTTGAATATACTTGTGAATTCTTTTCACAAGCTCTCAGACAAACACCCAGCTCAAAGTAATGGCAAAAACCCATTATTACAAATTGACGTTTCAATAAAAGTGCTCTATGTGAAATGCATGAATTATGAGCGTATATTTATACAACCCGTAGAACTATAGTTGAATATTTGATGTTTGATGATTTTGGGTACTGAATAATGTAGTATTCAAACTTGAGTCGAAAAATATATGGTATATGCATGTAAGTCGAATGCATTGTTCGTCAGTGTCTGTACAACCACAAATTAAACCCTGTAGTCAGTAGAATTATCATTGTGTCCCGTGGACTATAAACGAAATTTAACTTTTCTTTCATGGCTAAATACTTTTAATAATTTCGGCTTCATTTTTTTCTCGGAATTTGACCAGCTTTCATTTTTGTAAGCAAAAGATGGTGCCAAATCGAAATGAACAAGTGACCACGTACGTAAACACTGTTGTAAGTAAACTGCATAGCCGTTGAGGCCTTTGAACTAATTTGACTACAGATGTAAGAATAAATGGATAGCATTTTCGATACAGATTCATAATTTAATTTAACAGAGTGGATGGCTTTTCCACATTGCAATTCTCGAATAAAAGCGTTTATTAGCACGAAACCTTGAACCCTAAAAAGAGGGGATTTTTTTTATAATCTTACTGCAGGGAGCTGAGAAACAAAAAGCCTTAAATGTAATTGTCACGAATTTGCTGTTTTTTAAAAATAAGTCTAATATGCTTTGCAATTGCACAACCAAGTTATCTTATTGACTGGCCAAAGCAAGTATACTGATCTAAACGAGAAAAGCAAGCGAACTTGTTCAGCATGTGGGGTTTTTTTTTCCATAGGCAATTACTCTTTTTCAACCATGCGTGTTGATGTAAACATCCGGGACGCTGTATAAAATTCCATGGTATGCTTTCTTCGTTACGCTGAATGATATTCACAACTGAGATGTTTGTTTGGTCTTTAACAAGATAGTGTATCAGAGACGTAGATCCCGGGGATGAGCAGTACACATCCCCCTACTTTTTGACCAAGGGGATGGACAGTTGGATCCCCCCCACACACACATTTTCGTGGTTACACAAAAAGTGGATTTTCGAAGTAATTTTTTCAAACAACCAAAATGATTTCAATAATACCAAATATGGAAGAAAAAGTACAAAAGCTGTAAATACGCCATTTTTATGTAAGGTCAAGGGGTCCAAGTGTGTAGAAGTATTATGAACAACGCCCCCTAGTGTCGTATGGTGTCCAGCCCCCCCCCATTCGAATTTCCACGGCGCAGGGCAATGATTCGACTGAAGTTATCCCCCATTTCCCCAGTCCCCTGCACAGATTTACGCCACTGGACTGTAAATTGTATAGCAGTGCATTTATATTTCTGATCGTAGATTCGTGGATCAGAATGTTGACTCGATTTGTTCAAAGTGTCCGCCACCATATTTTTGTGAATCGAAAAACATAAGAACACGAGGTTGTCACTAGTTGGCTGAATTTTTTACACAGGACATAATCTTCAATAATGGTACTCACCCAAAGATTGGTGTGATATAATGTAGCAAAAGATGTGAAATGGTTTACCGCAAGAGCTGCTAAAACATCCAAACTCGTAGAGCTATTTTGTAGTCGCCACAAATTACAGGTGCAGAATTCCAATTACATGTATACAGTATCTCTGCCATAATGACGTATTTGATATGTTACACCTACTCTCTGTGTTCTATGTAGAATTTGTTGTAGTAGGCTTATGATTAAGAGTCATAAGGTTTGTACGTCACCAGATTAATAGGAAGATATTAATTTAACATCTGTTATACGTCCACCGTTCCTTGGCTGTTCAAAAATTACGTTTGAAGTGTTACAGTGAATGTGCATGGTTTAATTCTCTCAAGTGCTTTGTTATTTGAATATCGGAATTCGCCCTTAGGAAAATTACATCTCATTTCCCTGCTACATTGTATCTCACACACGCAATGCAACTATATTTAAATTAGTAAATCGGCGTTTAATGTTGCGTATACATTAATTTTCTGATTGCATTCACGCTTGCCAAGGATTTAAACAAATAAATTGTATTCAAGTTAACTCTGGATTGATTAATTTTGAATTTGGAAATCAATATAAATTTCATCTTTTAATGAGTGTCAAATTAAAAAAAAAAGAATTAAAAGATTGATCTAACCCTTATAAATGCAGTGTTGTAATTTCGTAAATAGCTTCGCGTGCTAATGGTTGGGGATGTAGGCGCCGTCTTACCAGCGAACACTCCGCAAGAGAACCAAGTTGGAGTGACAATCATTGGTTAATCGCCATGCTCGATTTTTACCTGGTACCCAGTATGTATTTTGTGCAGAGGTTACCGGGGAACATCATCAGTAATCGTCAAATAGTCTCACTCAAGACTTGTTCACTGATATAACAGGCCGACCGCCTGGTCCCCGCCTCTGTAAAAAAATTATTGTATGTAGCAGAGAATCGGACGACATAAAAATCGCAATTCGGTCCGCGCGGGCAATTCGGGGACTCTTTGCCTGTAACAATATAGCACTGAAACATGCTCGTGGATTACCTGTACCTGAGTAAAATTAGTTAAATGTATATTTCATGTCTACAAACAGGACAAATGCACGGAAGGCCCCAAGAGTCCTCAAAGGCAAGGCCGAGTAGTTCAGAAGCATGGGAACTTTTTCTTGCGAACGAGGACCAAACATTTCTCATCTGTCATTTAATTCAAATGCGGGGATACCGTCTTGTACTCCTTGTCAAAACAGGCAACATGTCGCGCAGGGCTGAAGACACTAATAGTAGGACAACACAAAACTTCTTGCACGCTGGAAAGCAAGGAACAACCCCCAAGATGATCTCAACTCGGAAAATAAACTTTTATTTTTTTTCACGTCACATGGAGTAAGACAATCAGTCACTGTCAGTTTTGCATTTATGAAAGTTTAATCGCTCCATCTATTGCACGTCTTTTATATCAGAAAAAATGTAAGCGGGGGTAAGCCAGGGGTGTTCGTATTCTACGTACACTTGTTTTGCCTACTGACTCTAGAAGATTAATTTACAAGTCACGGAACAACAGTGGAAGACAGTTTACATTGATACAGGCCTTCTTTTCAACGATGAGAACAGAACAACGCGCGTTTTTTGTTTGGATTTATTTTCGAAGTATGCAAGCTATGTTTTTTTCATTTTGAGATATATTACAAACTAAACTTCCACCTTCAGTCATTTATATACATGTACATATAAAACTAATGTCTATGAAGCTAAATAATCTTTTTATTAAAATCGATTTACATTAAATGTCTCAATTTTAAATCCCACCTAAGGTGGGCGGTTTTCGGGAAAAAAACGAAGTAAAACTTGAACCCGTTAACTAACAGGTAATATTTATTATCCCGAAAAAGTTGGAAAATCGGGTGGAAGAAAATCACGTGGTCACAGTGGGGATCAAACACTAAAAATATAACAAGGACCATTCTGATTTCTACATTTGATGTATGTTGTGTATTGCATACAGGCAGTTCTGCCTGGGGTCCAACAAAACAAACAAACAAACAAACAAACACCCCAACAACCCAACAAACAAACACCCAACACCCCAACAAACAAGCAAAACAAACAAACGAGAAAAACCTAAGGAGCAACTGTGCTAAACACTGTTCTATTGTAACAGCAAACCAGGTTGATTGAAAATCAGAACGTTTAGAGAGAATAACAGATCCAAGCCTTTTCAAAATTTAAAATACAAAATTTCAGTGAAACTTTCATGGGGGAGGGAAAATGCGGGATTCTGGCCCTGAACAGAGCAGCTCAAATCTAAAAAAAAGAAAAATCTTGTGGGAAGCGTTTCGGTTTACTTTTTAGCCGACGCGTCCAGCATCTTGAATTTCTTGAGCACGCCCTCCAGCGTCTCCTGCACCACATCTTGACTGATGTAGCTGTACATGCTCTGTGTATCGCCCTCTGGGCTAGCCTGAAGCGTCATGACCACGGGCTCGCGGATCATTTGCTTGGTTCTAACGCGGGAAACATCTGAACGAGATGATAGGAGGAATCCGGAAAGGGGGGGGGTTTAAGGTCGTCGTGGGTGGTAAAATTTCCTAGGCCATGGGCACCAGTGATTCCTATTCCCTACTCCGCCCCCAAGTACTTAAAGCTGGAGCCTTGCACTCCGAGTTAATGCCAAGCTGTAGACTCATAAACCATGAGCATTCTTGTTTCAAGCTTTCAGAAAATCAGCAGTCCAGAGAGAAAGAGAAAACGTTCTGAGGCCCTCGAACCTTGCGTGAGCCTAAGGCATGTGCATATCTGTGCCTATTGGATAATTTAGCCCTGGGTGGGAAAATTGCCTAAATTATCAGGTGGGAGTGGTCCCAGCCAGCAAGGGATAACGAGGGATCATAGGCTTAAGTTAAAGTTTGGTTGAGGATACGGTTTGGGGTTTTTGGATGGATGGGTTAGGATTCAGGTTGTGGCCAGGCCTTCAGTTTGCCTCTTGTAAAATGCTTCTTCACCCTCTCAGCCGCGGCTGAAAAGCCTTGGAAAATGTTTCTTCATCCCAAACTATTTTTGCCCTCCGCAAACATACATGTCTGCAGCCAGCACTTTGAGGAATGATTACGTAAAGTGCCCATGAACTGCAACGAATGTCCCATCACCGCAGCTGGGACTTGAGTTTTTTTTCTGAATGTCGATTTTGGTTTGAGTTTGAGCACTGGGGTTTATTTTGCTGTAGCTCCCTCTATTGATTGTAGTCACTTACTTGGTCAAACTGTGGTAGCAAAATCAAAAGAAGACTAAAGCTAGCATTTTTACGGTGAAAAAAAAATCTTTACCAGGTATTCGAAGCCATTTGGACATCTCCTCTCTAGTTGCTTCCATTAGCTTCTTCGGGTGAACGACTTCATCAACCAACTTTATTTCCGCTGCCTCTTTCAATGTGTATTCAGTACCTGTACAGAACAGAGGGATTCGGGATTTAAAAGTTACCTGGCAAGTTTCCTCTTGTGAACTTTGGAGACTATATGATTGCTTTACCTTTATAATTTATAATTGGCGTCACGGGGTGTGCAATCTCACCTGTCATTATTTCTATCCGCTACCGGCCCCTTCTTACAGTTTTCATGTTTTTTCTTTCTTAATTATTAGCCGTTATTAGTCTTTGCGTTCATTTAGGCCTATTGCATGCAGGTAACTCCCACGTTCGCCAAACTTAAAGTGACGCTTAGCAATCAAATGCTATCAAAGTCGCCAAGTCTCATCTTACCAAGTTGGAGGCTCATTTCTGCTTGTCTGTGACCGACCAAACGAGCAAACATCTCGTACACCCACACTGAATTGACCAGACCCTGCAGGAAACAATCGGAATTTAAACTTCATCCAAAAGTGATTACCAGTCTTGACTAAAACTGATATACATTTATGTTTGTTGAATACAAATGTATATGTCAGCCTTTTAAACAAGAGCGTTCAAATACCATTCTCAGGTATATGCTTTTATTCCAATTCTTACAACGGGAACACTAAAAAAATATATATAAGATTTTAATACTTTTCATTTGGATGGGATGTAGCTGTATTCTTGAGCAACAAAGAAACAATCTTTTCATTTTTGAAGTTGAATTCTATTTCAAGTTTGGAATAGTCTGCAAGTGGGATGTTAGGAATGAATTTATGAAATGTTTAAACCAGTCTTATCTTCAGTTTCTTCACCTTTGCTTCAATTTTGTTAATCCATGTTATGTTGTCCACGACTAGGTCTAATTTGCAAAGACCTTCTTGGAGGATTTAGATGAGATAAACAGACATTATTTTGTGTTTGTTGGGTTGGACATTAACCAAAATTATGCTGACGTGGCGGGTTCACGTGCACTTACAATGACATTCTCCGGCAGACCGATGGAATAAGGTCCCTTGGCCATGATGCGGTAGTCGCAACTCATGGCAAGCAGACAGCCCCCAGCTACCGCTGTGCCCTGTTCATTCAATTAAATCCAATCATTACCGCCACTGTTAACTTTCTGTACGTACATGTTCACCTCATGTGGCAGCAATTTGAATGACTGGATGATCCATAATTCATTGGCATGTCTGTTGCCCAGGATGTGAGTTCAAGGGAAGGACAAGATAGAGATTGTTGTTTCAAATAATTGTCCAATTTTTGTTTCTTTTATATCCGTAAAAGAATCAACCCTCTCCCAAAGGAATGTTGGTATAGGAGTGAGTAAACCGTTGCAAAGGCATAGACTTTCACTATAATTCCTTTAAAAAAAGGAGCAATGTGTTCGGGGCAAAGCTTCCCTTCCCACAAGACACACTCCTGAATTACACATCGAACTTGATCTCATTTTCGTGCCGTTTACTGACAAAAAATGGCTTCGCATTGGAGGAACTTGAAAAAGTATATTATACTGCTAAAATAATAAATCTAAACAAACTCAAGCAGGGCATATGATAAAACTTCTTTAAAATGTCACCCTAGTTGTTTAAATTTTGAACATCCCGGGCGAGGAACATACTTAATATAATGTTAAACAGAAAAATTGACGTTTGTTTAAGACAAAAATGTCAAACGAGGTTTTCCATGTGCCCTGCTTAAAACGGCGTTGCTTAAATTATTTTTAACAATGTTACACTGTAAAACTGTACGCTTCCGATGAAAAAGCCATGATGTAGGCCAAACGGAGCCATTAAAATGGCTAATTTGGAACCGGGGAGTATAGACAGGTTTCTAAATGAGCACTTACAGTGAACAGTTTTGAGTTTCAGCCATTTGTCCTGTTTCAGGGGAGGTCTTCATTTTCGTTATTTATTTATTAGTCCCCAGAGGACCCCAAAAGGAACGGCAGAAAGATTTGCATGTCAAAGGCTTCCAATCTAGTCTTAAGCCAGGCCACAAGCTATTCTGTTAAAATATGTCGGTGTCCTGATGTTTGCCCTGTACTTCAATAGTTGTGGCCCGATTTGTGACCAGACTTGACTTGTCACAACCGTCTGACCAACCACAGCAGAGTTTGGAGTCCTTCAAGATGTTTTTTACGCCTTGGGTAACTTACATTGATGGCAGCAATAGTGACGAGTCTTGAGAGATATAACCGGACCCAGAGATCCTGCAGTGAGCTCCAGAAATCCCTGAACTGATCGAAGCTCTTCTGGTGAAGTTCAACCACATCTAGGCCGCTGGAGAACACACTGGTAACCGACTTCAAAGGTGTTAATAAGGAAACAAGTAAGCTGTAATTGATTATTTCAGCCGATTAGTAATAGAATTAAGTAGGAAAATTGTTTCATGAAAATGTTCATTTCACTGATGGGACTCTATTTGGTTGGCAAATCCATGCAGATTAGGCAATAAAACAGCTCGGAAAACCCTGGATAAGAAGTGAGTTGGAAGCTACTCTTCTCGTCGGAGAAGATGTTGATAAGGCTGCAGGCCCAAAAATATAAATCATCGTTCTGAAAAAATGCGGAAAAATACACTTAATCCTTCTTAAATGCGGCTACCCACTTAATCTTGATTCAAAATATTGTGAATGTATAAAATGGAAGTAAAATGGAAGTAAGATGGAAATGTCGAATCGTCACACAAGGTTCCGATAATTTGCAATGGCTTCAGACGACAGCATTTTCTTGGATGCTGCCATCAAAATCGAAGCACAATCTTGAAAAAAGACTACAGAACTCACTGATGTCAGAATAGCGCCTCTATAACTTTTATTTGCTTCGATGTCATCTATGATCGCGATTAACTCGCGGAGAAGCTTTCGGTTGAGGAGGTTTGACGGGCTGCGATTAAGGCTAATAACTGCCACATCTGAAGAGAAAAGGGTTGAAAGTCGATAAGGGTCAAAAAGGTTGCCATAATTAATTTTACAGCGGCCAGAAAACTTATGCATGGTCAACCTTTCATGCATTTCCCTTTTCCGTACTCTGGCGTTTTCGCTACGAGCGAGGCGCACATTCTTCAAGACGGAATGACCAAGACGGAATGAAAAAGATAAACGCAATGTAACACTGAGAACGTAACACAACATAACGCAATACAAAAAGACAGCAAGTGATCAGTTCAGATTTATTTTATGATGGAATAGAGAAAAACTGTAATTTAAACCAAAAGGCATTTGGTTACAAATTCTGAGACATTCTGGGATGTTTCCAAAATCCGATAGTCGCATTCAAAACATTTTGGAAGGTCAAGAAACTGTCAACGTACGTTGTGATTTAAGTACTTGCAATACAAATAAAGTCCCGACATTTCTGCAACTTTGGAAAGAAAAAAAAATGAAAGCCAGCCAGTAACTTTTCATGTGTGTTAGGTATGTGGCTGGGTGTAATGATTTTTGAAAAGTAAATAATTTGGTAAATGTTTATCTTTGATTTCAAAGATTATACTAAGAGACCAATACATAGTACAGTGGGTACTTTGCGATATCAAACAAAATATCGCACTAAAAATCCGTTCCCACAAAAATCAAATCCAAAACAACCAACAAGCCGAAATAAAAACCCAACAAATAAGCAAAACAAAACAAAACAACCTAGTACAGAAAAGAACTGACAAAGCGAAGGATTATCGCTACTGTACCTACCTTTCAGAACTTTGTCCTTTTCAACAGTGACGTGCCTTTGTGTTCCGTTTGAAATTCCACTCAGTCGGCCTTAGAGTTTTCAGAAGGAATTTGACAAAAAACACTTGTTAACGATCGTAATACTAACTTCATGTCCCGCATAAAAGTGCACTTGTCTCACAAGGAAATGAGCCCAGTTCGGTATTTGAAAAAGCCATAGTCTTTCGGGAAACAAAGCGCACGAGTCAGCGTATGGCTGCATTAATAGGACCATAGATATCGAAAGAATAAAAAACATCAAACGGAAAAAAACTGACGAAGCGATGAATATCGCTACTCGTACCTTTCAAAATTCTTCCAATAGCTGTGGATAGGACAGACTGTCGCGCGTAAAGCCTCGTACCAGGCATGCGCTGTTGGAATACCGAACTGGCTCATTCTGCAAAAGCTGCGATCTCGTACGAACATATTTTTATTTACACAGAAATGGAGAGATGCGATTGATCCATTAGTTGGGGTGGCGCTGCTTCCCTTCACACGAGCAGTCAATGGCTCATATACATGTACATAGGCGTCGGGAGGGGAGGGCAAGAGGGAGCCCTGCCCCCCCCCCGAAAAATGGGGAACATTAAAAACAGTTGGGGAAAAAAAGAGTAAACAGAAATGGGATGAAAGTCGCAGATTTGCTTAAAAAATATCGCCCCTCCGCCCTTTAATGGATTTATCATAAATTATTATCTATTCTCATAAATTCCCCACCCAATGGGCAAAAGTGCCTTGCCCCCCTTCCTTAGAATGTGGATGCTTAGAAAAAGTCCTTGGCGACGCCCATGCCCATATACCGGCCCGATAAATTGTACCCCCCTCCCCATTTTTCAAATGGCCGCGTCTAGCACCTTGCATAGGACCTACTGTACATGCAGGCAAATCATCGCGGAGTGTATGCACGGCAGAGTTTACAGGCCCAACTAAATGTTGCTTACAAACAAGCGAATGAGAACCCGACGCAAAACAATCACCATACAATCTCCTTGACGCACAATTATGAACGTGACTGAGTTTGTTCACTACAGCAACAGCATTCCTAAAACATCAGTGAAAAATCCTACTCACTTGTACTTTCCATGATTGTTGTCGACGTGTTCCAAAAGATTAGGCCTAAGCTGTTTTACGACACTCAAAAAGATAGTCAACGAAGTCGAAAACAAATGAATGTATTCTTCACTAGCAAGGAAGAGTGTGCATGACTTTTCTATATAAATTACTCACTACGTGTGCATAGAAATCATCCCACGTCTAGCTAGTAATAAATAGAGCACTGTCGTAGGCCTACTCCGAGTCGGTACACGGGAATGTCGTGTTTTGCTTGGTATGCCAAGCATGATTTACTTTGCTTCTGTTTAGGTTTGAAAACAAAATCAGTGACCCGTATCGACAACAACTGGACTTTTGTACGTGAGCGCCCATTCACGGCACGTGTTTTAAGTGGAGGTCACATTTAATGGGTGTGGTGTTGGAACCCTCCACACGTGCGCATGTGTGCAGTCCTCTGTGATTCCGCAGTGGGAATCTGTAATTATGCAGAGCAGGACTTGTCCTTCAGCACCATGCCCACTGCACTTTCCTCGCAGCCACAAATAATTATGAACGAAATTTCGCATCATACTTCGTAGATCTCCTGCATGGAAAAATGTATTCATACATACATTCCTTTCGAAAACACGCCCAATTCGCGGTCAAAAGGGGTTTTAACTGGGCTTTCAATTTGTTCATCATTTCATATTCAAACAGGACAGAATAATATGCCTCTGACAAGAGTGTATATATTTTTACAGGACGCAGAGATATTGAAGGACAAGGCTTACATAAATGGAATACTGAATGCAACTAATCGGGTTTTAAAATCTTGCATTTATTAAAGAATAGAAAGTCCTTTTCCCTCAAGTGCAATTGATAAATGGACAAGAGTACAGTTAATTTCATGTGTATTTCAAATATAAAAATTATCTCAATCAATTTGTCAATGTAATTATTATTTCTTGACTCCCTGTCCCTTTACACTAACAACCTTCTTAACAAAAAGTTGTTTCTCAAGCCAATACTTTAAAATGTAGTTGGTATAATAACTTAAACTTGAAAACCGAAAAAATAGTGTCCCTGCAGATTTTAATTTTGTACATTAACATTGTAATGAGCTGGTCATGATTGCCAAGCCAGGCCTTCTTTTTTTATAATAACCTTAAAAACTATTAATATAAACTATATAGGTTTCAATAAACTCTGCAATCTCATGTTGAGATTGCCGTTCACGATTTTACTGATTTACGTATATTTCTGCTCGCAATAATGTAAAATCTCTCCACACTGCAGGCCCAGGTGCTAGGCATTTGCACAGAACTGTTGAAAACACCGGGCTAGAGGGTGGCATGTCCTTTCAACCTTGGCCTCCGTTTGTGCCCAGGGTGATTTTTGTACATTGAAAACCACACTTCCATCTAGGATGGTTTCCAAGGCACCAACTTGAAGTCAGCAGCTGGACGCCATCAATCTGGGCCACACACGGCGCTTACCCTTCAAGGTAGTAGTGAAGATAACAGTTAACTTCATATCAATATCGTCCTTGTGCCATCTGAGAGTTGAAAAGTCATCAGCGATTTAACAACAGCAACAACCCAGCAAGCGTTCATCAACAGGTCCATGCCGTCACTGCTACTGCCCGTCAACTTTCTTCTTCTTTTTCTTCAGGCTCATCAGATACTTCTCAATGACGTCTTGGGTGGACTCCCTGTGGATGAACTCGGCATTGAATGCGACTTCTTCTTCCTGTGATGCCTGGAGTTTCTTCAGGAGCGGTCCCCTCTGCATACCCTTGGTGACGACCCTTGCATAATCTGAAAAAACAACGAGAACCTTCAAATCACACACTTTTAAATACCCACATGTTGCTTCAGGTCTGTGGCTCAAGTCTTGCATTCTTTCAAAGGATCAGATTAAACGGTTTTGAAATAGTTGAAAGACAAACAGGCTGAAAGACTGACAGTTTGACTACAAAAACTCTGCTTTTTTTTTTTAGAGTTCTGTGTCTAGAGCCCTAGGAAAACGGACAACCACAAACCAGGGAAACAGAAAACAAACGGGACAGAGGATAGAAGGTCCACATAACAAAGCATATCGGTGTTTGAAAACTGAAATCAAGCTGCCATCAATCTTTCGTTCAGAAAGTAAACTGGAGAAATCAGTCTGTTAACTAAGCTGGAATGTGGTTATCTGAAAATTACAGAGGCCAAACACTGTGGCATATCCAGTGGGGGCTTAGGCAAGGGATAAGTTGCCAATTGATTTTTTTTGTTGAAACTACCAGTATTTTAAAAACTATCACCTTGCAGGAGATAAGAATTTCCCAATGGATGAAAAAATCTGGGCAGTCGTTTTAGGAAATAATTTCCCATTTTCCTCCAGACCCCAAACAGGATGCACAATTTGCTTTAATAACTGGAAAATAATGAGCGCATTTCCATTTTTCTTGTATGCCTTGTGGTTGGTCTGATGCTGTATGCTGTTTGTCGATGTGTGGTTATTTGGACTTTATACCTGGTATTTTCAGCCATTTGATAACTTGCTCCCGAGCCCTGTCGACAACGCTGTCCAACGGTGCAACCTCATCCACTAGGCCAATCTTCAATGCTTCCTCTGGGGTGTACAGTGTGCCTGGCAAAACCAAGATCGGGAATTGTTGAAAGTCTGTTTAGGGGATTAGTAAGGCTGTAATACAGCCATACCTAATTCATTTCAGTCAACATTTGAAAGGATAAAAGTATTTTGTGGTAAAAATTTCAGCATCATTAACATCAGTCTATCATCATTACTAGCTCTGCATGTGCTGTAGTCAAAACCACTCACAAGACTAGTCACAAGACCAGTTGCAAGTAACAGACATGCTTTCGTTTCAGTAAGCAGAAAAGACCCATCAAATGGAACACCGCTCTACAGCAGAATCCCCTCTCCCATGGTCCCTCAATTTCAAACCTCTTGCCAAAAAAAATGCAGAAAAGAGTAAATCACAATACAGCATGTTGGGCTGTGCTGAACGTCCAACTATTATCGATTGTGGAACATTTGCATCTCACTTTTCAAATTTGAATATTTAAATTCAAGAAAAGGGAGAAATTTCTTTTGTTTTAATGGAGTTTTGGCTGGAGATACTCCAAGACGTGAGAAGCTGTTGTAGTGATTATAATGTACATTTAGGTGCGTTATTGCAACTGATTCAGTAAATGGTTCGTTCAACAATCAGCCAGTCAGTCCGACCAAGTATTTGGATATTCGATCGAATTAAAAGTTGAATATTTGAATTGTGAATTATTTAAATTGACTCAACCCTAACAGCATGCTCCTGACATTTTATCCCTGGAAAATGCTTTATTATTGACTTGCACATCGACTTTGGTAACCATGAAATGCTTTGGTGAATACAGCACCAGGAAAATAACAATAAGATCACAGTTAGTCAACATATGGATGAAAACAATTTCATGGCGACAAGCGATGAAGTGATGGGGGGGGGAATTCTAAGTTTTGAAGGTATGATAATTTAAGAGACGTGCATCATTACTCCGTAACGGAATCACACACTGGCTTCTAGCCACTGTTCTGCAGTAGTGGAAATCACATAACAATGCCACATGGACGCCGTCAAAACTGTCCATATTTTGTTGGTGTTTCCAGAGGGCCAACAAATCACTCTCAGTTTGGGGGAAGTTTTAGTTGAACCACTTCCTTGAAAATGGTATTTTCAACCCCCCCCCACAAAAATTTAAAAATTACCCAGTTGCAATCCCATCTCTGCCTCTCTATCTCCACAGGCTCGGGCCATCAACTCTTGTAACCAGAACGGTGGTAAGATGCCCTGCAGGGGAAAAATGACACCGAAACACAGAGGCATTTTTGATAAAGATTCAGTGATCTTGAAGATGGGGCAGAGAGTGGTTAAACATTTCACTTTACCAATTGTAAGAAGGCACTCCGCAGTTTTCCGAATCTCATCTTCATTCCCTCATTGATTTCAGATTTTAGTTTGCATGAATTCAGTCCCCTAACGCGACAGCATATGACAAAGCCATGGTTTGGAGAATGCTCGTGCAGAACAAACAGCAAAAAAACATGTACTTGAAACTGATTGTGGAGCATACGATATGATGAACCTGTTGGCAGAGACGAACCGCAAGTTTAGCCAAAGTTACAGTTGGGCTGCAACTGAGAAAAGGCCACAGTGACTTGGACAAATGTAAACGAGGCAAAGTCAAGGTCAAGCTCACGCATTGACTCATCTGAGAATGAAATGTGACACGTCACTCTAGACCAATTATTTTCAACTGGAAGGGAGCAGAAATTGGCAGAGAAGTAGAAATCTTCACCAGTTTCTGGGATCCGTCAATCCTCAGTAATTACTTCATATGCAGGGTACTTGGTGTAGTGATATCGTGAGCTCCGTTCTATCTGGATGGCCATGTGTACGCTTACAGCCTGAGATAAAAAGGAAACTTCCTAACGACCTTCACTGCTGTAAGACCTCCCTCTTTCCCTTTTGATCTAATGACTGCTGTTTCCCAGTTTTTGACAGGTTTAAATCGTTCAAATGCACAATCTCACATCACTTTTCGAATGCTGCTTATCACAGACCCAAAAAAGTCCTCACCAATTGCGTTTCATTGAGTCCTATTATGTAGTCACCCTGTGACATGATCCTGTAATCACAGCTCAGTGCCATCAGACACCCACCGGCAGGGGCATGGCCCTGAAAAAGAGAGTGATACCACCATGCAGTATAAACACCACTGTAAATATGCCATTCCATTTTCAGCTGGTGTACCTCTTAATTAGTGCCGAGTGACTAGAGGTTATTTTGGGATCCATATCTAGAAGGCCTGATTTCCAATTCAAGTACCCCGAGAGTAATGGACATATTAACCACTTCATGCCGGGGCATTATTCAATGTTGATGATGCTGGGCTGGCATAATTATCATTTTTTCCGTTTTCAAAATTCTTCAAAAATTCATTCCATTTAACAGTCGTTTATAGCCACACAAAGTAATCTTTAGGCACTACTCTAAGTTGACAGGTGACCTCCAATGACGTCCGAGTATTTCAGCCAGGCCTGCAGCCTTGTAAAAAGAGCCCAGATTGTGCGGTGTTAGGTAACTTTCTTTCGTTCATGAACCTGGCTCAGTGCACTGCTGACCTCTTTTCAATAGGGGCCAGATTAGCGTGCAGTGGTGCTGTGTGGCTCATCGCTGCGGTGGTGGAGAGCTTTTGTCCCCGGTGTGATCAAATCCCCTAGAATGAGGACTAGGTAGGTTTTCCCTCATTTGTTTTCACAAGTTCTACAAAGCGTATACTCTTTTCAAACATATCACAAGATCCAACGAAGAAACTTACATTAATGGCGGCAACCATTGCCAGATCCGTTCCATACAGCCCGAGCCAGAATTCGTGAATCGTTCTCCAGAACACGCTGATGTGGTCAGTTGACCTCTGGTACATCTCATTGATGTCAAGGCCTGCCGAGAAAATACCAGGCTTAGCCTAAAAGAGGCAAGAACAAAAAAAAGAAGGTTGGTTGCTTGACCCACAGTTAAGGATATGCTTCGGCTGATTCTTTACCACAGCACACAGGGGGCGGAGTTCACATCATCCAGCTATCTATATTCCTAAGGACAGCTGACTGGTTAAGGTGCCAACCTTTCCCTCTAAGCCTCCCATGGCCAACATGCATGTACACAGTTCTCCCAGCATTAGTTTAGTAGGCACACAAAAAGGTCTGGGAAACCTAGGGAGGCAGACGGTGTGTTACAATAAACTTGACCACTGTGTATGAACTGTTGTCACAATTTTTTTGTCCCTTGGAGGGGGGACCTTGGAGTGATATAAATATGTGGTTGCAGTGATCAATATGATGTATGAAGGTGGTACTGTATTTTACCGTCGAGCGTCTTGAACATTTGGCTGTATTTTGAAAGTATACCGACACACGTTGCCATCTTGGCAAGTCAGCTTAACAGAATACTGTTGGCATGTGGTAGACATTCAAGTCCTGACGAGTAACGAGCTTTAATTTGCCCTGCCATCAAATTCAATGGACTGGGCAGCATAAAAACCATGAGTGCAGGCAGCATCACACCAGGGGGAGCGGGTTAGCCTAGCAGCTCTTTCCTCGCTTTGCACCATTGAGGCCCGGGTTCGAGTCCCGGCTTGGCCCGGGCTTTAAGTGCATTTGGTTTCCAGTCCATACTCTCTCTCTCGCAGGTTTTCTCTGGTTACTCCAGTTTCCTCCTGCCTCTAAAACTGGACCTTCTTCCTAACTCCTTAATGTGAAGCTAATAAAGGTTACTAATAAACGTATAGATATTGGTGTAAATAGCCCGAGTAGCTGAAAGCGCTATTTAAACAAAACAGAATCACACCACTCCTTCGCAGCGCAGAGCCAGAAGACAGTTTTTGTGCCCCAGCCTGTATTTTAGCAGGCATTTTTAGTTCAACTAGTGTCCGGATACGGAGAGAGGATCTGACTTGGTAGTGTTTGCTCCTTACGGTGACTATTCCCGTGGGTGCACACATTTTGTTAACCAGTATAATAATTATTTACTGTAAATACATCAGCAAGACGTTCAGCGAGTCAAGACGTAGCCGAAGAAGATGCAGACTCCAATTATCATTTTGGGGTAAATATTTTGTTTATAAAAGACCAAACCTCTAAATAAGCTTTCCAGCGACTAAGCAGTATTCACAGGAAAATGCTGATCTGCACTATGCTAAGGTGAAATCTCACGGCCATAATTCCACAATGCTGTGTCTGACTGAGCCAAATTTGGAAGATGACAAAATTTGTCACTGTAATGCTGAGATCCAAGATGCCTCCTGGAGTGAGGTGTTTTCTTTTTTTTGGGGGGGGGGACTTACAGATGTAAGAATGGCACCTCGGTAGGTCTCGTTATTTCGCAGTTTCTCCAGTGTGACGCTCAACTCTCTCATGAAGTCTCCACACATGCTGTTCACTGGTTTCTTGTTCATCTTCACGATGGCAATATCTGTACTGAGCCAACCACAGGGGGTAAGATGTTGGGAAATGGAGAAAAACAGAAACATGCACGGCCGTAACAATGACAACCCCCCCAAAATACTGTGATTTTTCAGGACTTTTAACAGCTAACATAAATTCTCTCCCGAATGGTAATGATTGTGATAATGTTAATATTGCACTGGGTGGGGAGGTAGACACCTGTGTAGCACCCCCCCCCCCCGGAATCCTGCACCATCATACACAAGCTATATTCTTTCAATACCCGTGAAAAAAAAAAAAAAGGCCTATGCGGGCAGCTACTCCTGTGCAGTTTCACTGCACTTACATCACTGAACCATGGCCAAAGCAACTAAGATTTTTTTTCTCCCTCTTCTTCCATTCATTGTACCTTCACAGACAATGTCTCTTTCAACCTGGATATACTTTCCAGGATCGGCATAATGACGTCTCTGCTGTGATAGCAAGAGAGGCGCGGCACCAGCCTTACTCCTACAAAGCGTTGAGGCTCCCAGCGATCGTAATAGCAGGTGTGCTGGGTGGAAGGAAGGAATATGCAGGAATTCAGTTTTAAAAAAGGAAGAAAAGAAGCAAGATTGAACTATTTAGAAAGCGCTTTGTGAACATGGGAATAATGTTAATAACTTGATAATTTGCTAAACAAGGATTAAATTTACTTCATTTTCATGTCTATGAAATATTAGATTGAGCAGCTAAAATTTTTAAACAAATGATAAAAGAAACAAAGGAATATTGTTTGTTACAATGTCACATGTAGCACATCAATAAATTTCTCATTCAATTTTTATTTGAACACAATTACATTATGGCCCAAAAAAATCAAGACAATGGTGTCACAATAATGCATGATATAACCTTTTCACACTAGGAGTAGGCCACATTTGCATTTTGTTTACAGATGATTTGACCTTTGGGAGTGGAGGGGGTGCCTGAGTGCTCAAAAACTGCTACATTTTCTGGCGCCAAAAACTGTCCTGTGTTTCAAAATCGTAAAGATTCAGTGTCTTTTAACTGTGACCACATACTCTCATGTTGTGACGTACAGAATTTTAAACTTTAAAAATTTCTAAATCTAACATGCACTCACTTCGGTTTAATACATGTAGTGACTTGAGTAACTCCACCTCTTAATCGCAAATTTCTAAATGTTACGACAAACACGGTTCTAGAAGCAATTTTTTTTGTGGGGGGGGGGTTAAGGCATTAGATCCTTGCAAGTGATGTCACCTTTTAATGTTTGCTACTGCTCTTTCACTTTGGGAGTCAAAAACCCCGTACACAAGTAGAGCGCATTTTCAAGTATTTGGCACACAATAGTAGCCAATCTTGGGAAAAGCGAGAGCCTATCAGAGTTGAACATATTTTTACCGGAAAAAAAAGCTTCTTGAACTTGAAACTCTGGCCAATAAGCGGATCGACGTCCATCGTCCTACATCACATTTATTTGGGGAGGGGGGCTAGACAAAGTGGTTTGTACTGTATCACAAGCGCTGTGGCTGGAGTACATGGAACTCCGACCCTGAATCATAAATTTCCAGATGTCATGAGTGATACGGCTGGAGTACTCAAGATAGCTTTTTCCCATCCAAGCCCAGATAGAATTAACCAGATCATTCCTAGTCTAACTTTCACTGAATTACATATAAATGTACCACCAGACTAAAGTCTGTGACCGTGTAGTCATGGGCGGAAATCCCGGGGGGTGGGGGGACACGTCCCCCGCATGAATTTGGTACGGGGGGACACAATGTCAAATGTCCCCTCCATGTTTTAAGCAAAACAAAACACTAAAGGAATTGATGAATCGAAGATTTTCCCTTTTGAGTTTTTATAAATGGAATTAGATAATTAACACGGTGTGCACAAAAAAGCGTAAATGGATGTCCCTCCCACGATCGATGAGAGATTTCCGCCCTTGCAGGTAGTCACCAGGTCCCACCACTACCAGGGGCAGATCCAGGGGGGTTGGGGCGCACACAACTCCCTTTTTGCAGTAAATAAAAATTAACAGAAAAAGACGAAGGAAGAAGAAAACGAGGATGCCTGAAATTGCATCACAGCAACATGTAGAGCGCCCAGAAAAAAATATTCAGCCTTATTGGGTTCGAAGCCCAACATGGCCGGAGCCTTACCTACCTCCAGCTTTTTTTCCTACTGCATGCAAAGCATCCATGACAGTTTTATAGTGTTCCAGTTCAGAGGACTGCTCTCGATCTCATGACTCACGTTACCCAACTCACCAGATCCTCCAAAACCAAAAATTGGCATTGAAAGATTGCCAGAAAATCTGTCTGCAGCAGTTAACAGTTTTGGGAAATAAATTTAATTTTTTAAACGCACGGTCTTTCATTGGCACAACAATGCCCTTTTGCCAGTGCACTAGTAGTAGTGAACTGTCGGCCTGACAGCATGTGTAATGTAACACTCGGTAAAATTATGTTTGGATACTCTCGCTAGCGCCTGGCCAGCTATAGCTGGCGCTGTTTGAATCTACGGTAGCCAAGCCAACACGTGCTACATTATACATTTATTGAAATGCAAGTCCTAGTATTTGGCACTGAAAAAGCTCGTTTTCTCTGAACTTTTAAAGCATGTTAAATAACTTTCTTTACCAATAGTCATTTCATTTGAATATTTTTAATCAAAAACTGAGAATTGACTTTAATAAAAATGGTATTTTCACTTTTTATTAACATAAAGTTTTGTGGTCTATCAACATTCAACATTAATGTCGTTTAAATAAGAAACTCCCTTAGTGCTTTCTTCACTGTCGACCTGTCTGACTTGACAGTAAAAGATAAAATGAAAAAACAAACAAAAAACCGCAACGTATATCTAAGAACAAGGTTTCTCCCAAATACCTCACGATTCCTCAAGCAATATCACAAGCGTTCTACCCGCCGGAAACAAAAAATGTCCTGAATGTCGAATTGTCACCTTCTGCAAACAAACAACTTGACCTAGAAATTTGAAATTAGACAGACATCCACTTGTTAACAACTCAACAAGGCAATTCGACAATAAAAAAAGATTCGCAAGAGAAAACATGGATGACGTGTAAGGAAAACCTCGGATCTGAGCAAAGCAATCTTCTAGGGTCATCTGTTTGTCTTTTGAAATTTATGCATTTTGTAACAATGGCACACACATCAACGCACAACATAATTTCTAGTATGACAAAATGAGCACACCAAATGGAACAAATTTTATTCACGTTTACATCGCTTTCTGTGTCTTTATCCAACTACAGTGTATAATTGATGCCATCTGTGGCACACAAAGGTGAAAGCTGGCAGATTTATGCAATGTTGTTATGAATCTCTCAACATATTTCTATTTACAAACATTAATTTTTCAAAATGTTAATAGAAATCTTTCGGTTAATCTTCAAAGTCAAAAATGGTTCAACTAATCACAGAGTAGGCATTTCTAAGGAGGATTCGCCGTTGGAAGTACTAGACAGAGAGAATAAAATGGGCTTATCAGGAGGAATGACATCCAAGCAAACACGAAGACATTTTAAAAATGCATGACCATTTTTCAACCAAAAGTTGACGGCAAAGCGGGAAATGATTGACAAACTCGACAAGGTGAAAAGCCAGAAATTGGAACAAGTAAAAAAAAATATCTGGGCACATAAAAACTGACAATTGATGCTGGAAGTTGCACCAATTAATGGCCTTCACTTGTTTTACCAACTGCAAGTTATTTGTGAATTAAACAGTTGAGTAATCATTTAAGTGGGGCTCAGGTGTTGAACCTGTTTAATGAAATAAATGATTAAGTTGTCAATTGACTGTTATCAAGGCTACCAAATGTGCATTCAATTACGTGGTATTTATTCTTGACTGAATGATTCTTTTACAAAGCAACCCTTTGTTGGTTTTGTTCTAATAAACAAACTGGTGTTCTAGTACTCACAGGTGGCCTGACAATAGGGGTCACTAGTACATGTCTACCCATCAAGGAACTATGAGACAAGAAGAGGATTATATTTCCCGGGGATGAAAGCCAGTCCAGTCCATTTATGTTTTATAACATACCTCTGTCTCAAACGTATAACAGATGTAGGAAACTTTTCAGGGTTTTGTAACTGAACTGTTGTAGTTCAATTATACAAATAATCATCAATAGACCAATCCATTAACCACTTGACACCCGATGACGTGTCAACACACATAATTTTCCTTATTTGTTCCACGGAGAATGAGCACACTCTTTTAAGAAATTTTTCATTTCCACAAACTTATTAACACGTGGTGCTTTGTTAGGTCAAAGGGCAATTGCAACGTTGAAGAATATGGGGGTTACAAAATGTCCCAAGCAGCCTTTTCTGGTGAGAAAATCCGACGTTAAGTGGCTATGCCCTGCCTGATTATGTTCTGACCAATCACAGCTGTGATTTATGTCCGACATGCGTGCAAAAAAGTCCGACATATGCTTACGCACGCAGCTGGAAAATGTAGAGCTGCATTGCGAGAAGAGCATGCGCTGAACACCCACGTGCGCAGTGGGCGGGGCTTGCTGGATCGGTCCATTCAACAGGCAATTCAGTTTTTGAGTTTCTGTTCACTACGCTTGTCATGCGAGGCACCTGTAACCAGTCAAAATGGAATTCAAACCAACGCTATGTCTTGGCATGTGTCCAATTCACACTGATACAAAGTTCATGTACTAGCCGATATCGGTGAACCACACGTGACCATATCTCATCCAATCCAGATATAGAACCAGCAAGAGGTGTTCTATGGACCTGTTTCATGTGATGTCACAATCGTGCTGGACCGCAATGTGTTGTGACAGTAACGAGAACACAATGCTGTGATGGTAATCTACTTATTTAAGATAAACTGGTCAAGCATGCAGCGTTTGCACGTGTGCTTGTACGTGATTGAAGCTGCCAGTAGGAACATATGGGATCACCGTGGCCAAGGCGGTACGTGGTGGTATTGTTTACATTTAGCGCTATCCAGTCACATGGGTGAAAAAGGTCTATAAAGAGAAATAAAGTCTGCTGGTTACCAAGGCAACATCTGTGAGCCATTGCATGTGAAAAGAGCAGACTTCGATGTTCTTATTCTCTAGTTTGGAATATCCTGACAGCCAAAATTTTCTTCAAAAAGTATCAGGACTGCTACCAATGGTTAGCAATAAAGTGCATCCGATTTTCACACACAGTCATCAAGATATAAATGTTTCCCACCAATGTGGACATGCAATCATTCTGAAGGCAGGACACAGAATTGGTCATAAAATTTCTCCAGGGTCGCAAAAAAGTGCAAGGGGACAGGTCTTTGTGTCGAATCTACTTCTTCTTCAAGCTCTCCAAGTACCTCCCGAGGGACTTTTGGATGGCCTCTTTGTTGATGAATTGACTGAAGTAGGCTATGTCTTCTTCCTGCTTGGCCCGTAGTTTCTCTAAGAGGGGCCCCCGGCACATCCCCTTGGTGATGACCCTTGCGTGATCTGCAAATAGTTTACAGCACATGAAAAGCCAATCATATTTAGATGTGCTTCTGCACCTCCAAACATGGGTGACAGTCAAGTGCACTTTGATTGTTCTTTTCAACAAGAGCTCTTGAGGTACACTATAATTTGAAAAAATTCTGTCATTCCCCCAAAACTATTTTCTCTGTTGAAAGTTTTCTTATTAATCTTTTTACAGAGTTTTTGTCTTCAATCAGCCTAAGGACCTAGGTATAAATGCCTCACACCTTTTTTCTCCTAGATAAATGAAGTCCCACCAACACTTGAGGATTTTTTCTCTTAAAACTTATGGAAGTCAAATTTTATTTTCAAGCCTATCCATGGCTTACAAGCAAACTGGGGAGGGGTCAAATTTTTACCCCCTCCCCTAACTACATCGACTCCCCCCTCAGGCTGCCTATTCCTACTTGCCTGGTAGTTTGAGCCATTTGATTAGTTGTTCCCGAGCCTGGCTGACGACATCGTCCAGTGGTACAATCTCATCCACCATGCCAATCTTCAACGCTTCCTCTGGTTTGAAGAGCGTGCCTGCCAAGGAAAACCATGCAAGACAAAATTATTGCACCTTCAAGTGGAACCAAGATGAATCTGAGCGTCAACGAAAAGAGGATAGTTTTTTAAGCAAATGACCAAGAAAGAGCCTTCAACGATTAACCTTTGATATAGTGGAGTTAAACAATTCTGAATCTGAACATTTTCATGCTGCACTACAGTCGTGATAATCTGGAAATTGTGTGATGTACGAGGAGTTCCTGCAAGAATGCACTGGAAAACATCCTCTGTCTTAACATGGGTTCCATTGGCAAGATGACAGTTGAAAACGTGGCGATTTGACTGATCAACAGCACATTGGCTTCTGAATCTACTTCTACTGAGTCCATGGTTACAAGCTACAAAAGTATTTTGAAGCGGAAGCGTTACAGACCATCACAAGTCCGTTTGAAAGGCCATTTCACAAGTTCTTTCACAAGACCAATCACAAGGAACAGGGTGAACGGTGAAAGAGGAAAGCTCAAGTCACAGTTCTTTGAATAACTCATGACCTGGCTCTAGCCTGGATGACTTGTGATGGACTTGAAGGGACTGGTGATAGACCCTACTGAATTACTGGTAGGACTTTATACAAGTACCTAGTTGTAATGCCATCTCTGCTTGTCTCTCGCCACAGGTTCTTACTAGCAAATCTTGGAACCAGAAGGGAGCAATTATACCCTGAAATAAAGACAGTTACAATCTCATATTTGATATTACAGGTAGCAAGTGCCATCTAGGTATTCTCAGTTAATGAAAGGAACAAGTCTACATTTCACAAACGAGGCTCATTTAACTT